GTGTCAGGATAAAGGGAGACACTTGGTTGTCTGTGATGGAGAGAGGCAGTAAAGCTGGATCCTGGAGAAATTGTACAGGGAAAGTAAGAATAGAATGGGGTATGAAGAAGGGAGACTGGAGCAGAAATATTGAAAGGTGAAATGAAAATTGTGGCTTATGGTAAGGCACAGAGAAAACAGGAAGGTCCTTGGGCGACAAGCCTGACGGATATGAATTTGATGTTCAATGGAGTCATTAAGCTGAGCGGAATCCAGGTTCTCATTGGATCCTGTGCCTTTTCAGCATGCATAGCACTGTGCAAGACAAGATATAGGGCATCCTGATTGCCTAATACAGATTCCTTGAGTTTTCATCGAAACTCTGACCAACATACAGCAAGAGCAAAGCCCACTAGCTTTCTAGTAAAATGTAATATCAGCAAAACACTGTCCTTTCTTTCTCTCCCATTTCCTTACCCCATGACTTGCAATCTCACCACGCCAAGTGGAGGCAAACAATTGCATGGATCAAGTGCACTTAAGAATCAGTGTCTAGGTGTTGCTAGGGGAAACTGAGCCATAAAGGACTTGAAATAATTTACATTTCTGTTGGGTCTGATTCCTATTAACTAGCTGACTGATTTCACTTAGGCTCTGGGCATGTAGACCAGGGCTGCTTTTTCCTTCCAAAGCACGATCCCCTAAATCAGTGTCCAGGGGCGCCCTGCTTCCCATGCTAGTTCAAATTAAAACTCAATAAACACAAAATCCTATGATTAATCAAGGACATGTTTTGTCTAAAGATTCTTAAAAAGTAATCACTTTAAAATTTTAAAAGCTTCTGCCTTTTCAGGAACATCTTACCCTTTTTCTTTAAAGAGAAGCCCTTATTTATTTCTTCTTTCCTTAAAACCTATACAATTTGAAGATCACAGATCTAGCCAACTGACAGTAAAGTCACAGTATTTATATCTTGGTACATTGTATAATTACAGGATTATAAATGTAATTATTGAGAACAGCACTCTTGGTAGAACAAAGAATTGTATTATGTATCATGCTGGGCAGACAGGAGAATTGTTACCAGCCCCCTACTCTTCTTTCATAGATTTGTTCTCATAGGAAATGGACATCTTTGGATTATGGAGCATAAAACCTCAGTGGGCATTGGTGCTAAAAATCTGAAGAATAGAGAGTCTAGGATGAGACAAATTGTCAAGAGACGACGGGGAGGGTGGGGGGTGGGGGTGAACTTAGTAAATTCACCCAGATTCATCTAAAAGAATGTGTAATAGAACATGTCAGAAACTATGGCCTCATTTGCACTTTGCTAGCACACCTCTGTCAAGTTTCGCTTGAAGAAAAGGAGGGGGGAAACTACAGAACTATTTCTATCAGTCTATAAAGAGGGAGACTGACTGGAGTTTCTTGGCATATTTAAGACTAAACAAAATGAAATACCATGAGTATACTTGGAACATAAAGAATACATTGATAGCTTCACTTGTCCAATCCATACTGAAAACCGAGAGTTCCCAAGATCACAGAATGGAGAAGATACTTACTCTATCTAACCAGCACTTCAAAGATGTAATATGCAGAGAAGTTCAAGTGAACTTAACTGATGTGAACCATATACAGAAGTACAGAAGGATGAGGAGAGAAATGTCTTCTAGACCACTGTTTATCAGCAGGCTAGTTGAGAGATGGCTGGAGTTAGAGGGGGAGATGAATCCCCGAAGTGCCTTTTGGGGACAGATGACTTCCTGTGAAGGCTTGGTTTGCCTGTCCATTCTCTTTCTTGGTATCTATAGGATGGGTTAAGAGCCAGCTAGCTGCCATTTTAATATCTTCAGGTTTCCAAGTAACTATGCAAATTTGCCAAATTTTACTAGACTACTGAATTAGCTTAAAGTTTGATATGTTAGAATTCTCTTAGTCATTATTTTCAAGCAAAGGTTTAACTTGAGAGAGCTTGGTCGATTGCCCAACTCCCTGGGTGGGGAGAACTGGGAAACTAAAATTCAGCCTCTCTAACAAGGCATCAACAGCTGATGGAGTGTGTAGAAATGACCAGAATTGGCTTTTCAGTCACAAACAGCTGTGCAACTGAGGCTGGGCATACCTGGATTCAACTGCTAAAGGAGTTATAAATACTGCTACATGAAGTCGAAAGGAGAATGACCCACTGAAGCCTTTTCCTTTAGATCATTTCTATACCAGTAGCAGAGAAGTTTTCAAGAAGTGGGATTGTTAATATCTATAGTTTGAAAATAAAAAGATACCAAGCAAGCTACTTGCAGTTAGAGAAAAGGTGAAAACGATCCATTCTTTTCTATAACTCTCAGTTTGACCACACAGACTTGTCTCACTTTTCTTTATGAGGAGAAGTTCATTTCTTTATTCACTCTTCATCTATAGAGCAACCCTTAGCTCTTCCAAACTCACACTTTATTAAAAGTTGTCCAGTTCAGGCTGACGTCTCAATGTGCAGTCGATGGCTCTGGCTTTGTTTATGCCCCTCAGCCATCATATTGATTCAAAATCTATTTGCTTAGGACTTTTACAACTATGGGTTTCACAATAGAAAGAGGTGCAATAGCAGGTCAACAGGCAAACCTTTATTAAAAAAATACACTTAGAAGTTTTCTGTTATATCTTGGAAGAATTTTGCTGATTACTGTTCTATCTAGCTGAAAATAAATCTATCAAGGTCAGCAAAGTTTTACTCTTCTTGCCAATTAATCCAGTTTCCCCAGCAGCAGCACATAAACTTTTAATTTAAGGAACACCTATCTTTGCAAAGATTACAGATGGACAAAGGAAGGGCTGGGTAATTTGAACTATCTTAATTCTGACTCCTTAACCATATTGACAATTTGTTTTGGCTAGACCATTTAAAGGTGTGTCTACTCTATTACCTAGATTTCAGAAATTCCCCACCCGCACTCCCTGCCAGCCTAACTAGTTGCTGGAAATATCTGGAGACAGATCACGGGCAGAAACTCAAGGATTCAACAGGCAATTGCTGGCAACAGTACCAGGGCCTTGATCTGTGACCTCTAGGTTTTCTGTCATTACACATTTCCATTTCTGCTTGGCCATCACACTTGCCCTTTTTCATTCTGATGCTAAACTGCTTCATCTTGGTTTAAAAGTCATACAACATACATCTTAACCTGAGCCCTGACATGCCCTAGGATTTAGGCATTTTAACCAATCTGTTTGAATACCTATCTCAGTGCTTTAGCACCAGCAAATAAATTATCCATGTTTCTACCAACTGGAAGTTCTATTCCAGTTTTTCTTTTTTCCCCCTGTTATTTTTAATAATAATAATAATAATAATAATAAAGACCCCAATCATGCCACCATATTCCTTTTTTATTAAGGGCTAGAGCAGGTGTTAGCATCCACATGAATATGGTTTCTCAGACTTGATTTGATCCTGCTTGTACATTCTTCAGTTTTGAGACTGGTGTTATGTTAGAGAACAATGCTGCTTTGATGAGCTGAGTCTACTATAGGGACCCCTGATTGGGCTGACGACTGGCCAGGAATATTTCTGGGGATGGGATGACACTCAGGAACCTGGGAAGTTAATAGGTTCTGGAAAGGTACTGACCCAAGAGTCAAGCTACGTGTGCCAGTCAGATTTGGAAGAGATTCAAAGTACTTGTACATCTCTAGACTATCTTCCATCCATTGGAGGAAACATCCTGGATCTCAATCTTTTCAAAGACTAAAAATACCAGTCTTTGGGTCTGTTATCAACGCAAAGTTATCTTTTTTCCTCTCCTGACTAACTACAAAAGGTGGTGCTTGTTTAAGAAGAGAAACGTCAGAGAAGAAGCCAAAAGTGGTTACTCCCTTGTCCCTGAAGGCAGTGGTTATACAGGCTGCCAGGGTCAGGGGATCTCTCCAAAGACTATATTCTACTCAAAACTCACTGTTAATCACCACCCTTTCTTTTTGATGTAATGAACTTTTCTTTTCAACTGCATTTTTTTCCATTATAGAAAGCCCATGTTTCATCCTAGTTCATGTGTCAATCAGCCAATGTCATGATCAAAGCTTGAGAATGTTATTTGCTTCCCTGTTAGGAAACTATCTCCTGGGGGTGAAGAGAGCAGTTCAGTCACACGTGTGTCCATTAGAGGATGCATGCAGAGGTAAGCCGTCCATCAACATTACCCAGTCACAAGTGGCTTGAAATGTAAAAAGGTACTTCTATCACTGGCTCTCTTGTCCAGTGGGTGCTTTTAACCCATAGTTTAGGTATCAATATTTCTCCAGGAAGTTGGGGTACAGAATATCTTCTGGTCCAGAAAAAGCACACTTAACAGGTATAAATAAAAACAAATAATGAATTTCACTTATTGGCTGATGTCAATTCCCTGAATCCCACCTTGTTCTTCAGGATGAAGTTGGTGGCTATTTCCCCCTCAGTTTCATGTTCTTTTCTATACATTATAGAAACAAAATGTTTTTCTCATTCAGGAATCCAATGATCTCTTAGAAACAGTTTTGGTAAAACTGGGTTTTGGTAAGATTCCAACTTTTTGTTTTTGGGAAAAAGATGTCCTAATATTTGCTGCAACCAGACAAAAAATTAACACTAGCAATCAAAAGAGTAATATGTAAAAAACCAAACAAATCCAAAACCAAAAAAAAAGCAAAAACCAAAACGCAAGACCTGAAATATCACAAAGCAACTGCCCAAAGTCCTTGGAACGCCTTGGTTTTCTCTGGTCTTACAGCAAAGTGGATTTCACACTTCTACAAGGAACAATTATTAAATACTACTGCAATGTCCCCTTAAATAGTGCTTCATTGCTCCTGTGACTTAATAAGGAACTTCATTAAGAAGGCTCAGAGTGCTCTCCTCAGATGACCTCAGAAAGAGAGGACCAAAACAAACATTTACTGACATATCTTTCAAGAACTCCTGCCTTGTTGCCGTTGCAAAGAATCATGCAAGGTATAAAGTCCCCTCTACAATCACTTCATGGATCTCTGCTTTAGTTGGTGGTCACGCTGGCTTCCTTCTGACGCAGTCTTTCTTTCTGTTAAAAGAAAAACATCAACATGAATTTATTGTTATCCAGGTTTTCCACTTGTCAATCCAAATTTTGACACGCACATAAACTAGAATGCTGAGTAGAGTTACATTAATATCCAGTAGATAAGAGGATCACTCTCTTTACTTCTCTAAACCCTTGGTTACCTGCCTTCCCAACCTTATAGCCTCTATTCTCCAAGCAAGTAAGCAAGCATGGATAAACTAACAACCAGTTAGTAAACCAACTACATTCATCCAGAGCATCAACTCTTGCCACGTCAGAATGAAGAGATGGTGGGCTGCTCTAATCTGTTCTCTTCTTTGTTATAAAGAACTTAACTGGGTAATGCTATTCAAAGACTCCTCCCTCCCTTGGCCCTCCCACAGGTAGAATGATGGTATGCTTAAGAAACAGTTTTCAAGGGAACCTAGACATGAAATGTTACCATTTCCAACTTAAAAATATCTGCATATAATCTACTGGGCACAAATGAAACATGAGATGTGAAATGAAGAACCATCAGGCCTAGTCTATGCAAAGGTGCAGAAATTCTCATTTTGTTTCCCATTTGTGGATGCTCTGCTGGGCTTTTCCCTGTGGTCATCTCCCGAAGGAGGAGCAGACAGAGGATTGTTGTGAAAACAAACAAGAGTACACAACACAGAAACACATACTCTTTCTGTGACTCCCAAGAAAGAAATCTATTAATCATGGTAAGGATAGAGCCTCTTGCTCTTAAGTGAGTGCTAAACGATGAATAAAAAGAAAAGTACACTCCTCAGAAAAGAACAGAGGCAGAGAGAAGCCCCTTGCTTGAGAAGTATAATCTCAACTGTTTCTGATTTGAGATGTAATGCTAATTATTACATTAGCCTAGACAGAATTTTAAAATGTTTAAAACACCTGCCCTTGACTTTGTGAACTCAAACACTTACCTAACTTCCATGTAAATCAACCAATCATTCAACAATGCAATTTACCAGTAGAAACAAATGGCACATTAAAAGGTCCTAACAAATTGAGGATTACACCTGGGAGTTTTCTCAGAGTGGTCAACCTAAGAAAGAATAACCCACTGCTTTCCCTTTTGTCTACAGGGTTGACCTGGCTCACTATTCTTTGAGGAACCAAGTTTGGCTGTAAAAGTTAGGATGGAGGTTGATGTAAGGGACTTGGGGGAAGGGGTGGAGGTCAATGAAGAAGGAAGATAACAACCAAGGACGCCACTAGGAATATGTCCATTCTGGTCTTTGTGCACTAATCTTACCTTTCTTTGTCTGACCAACCTGTTGGACCCTGACTTCTCCATGGTTACTTTCTAATTTATCAATATTAAGTAACATGCATTTAGATCCTTGATGCGGTTGTTATTAGAGACATAATGGTCAAACAACTTTCAATCCATAACTTATACTCCATTTAGCTCTTCTAAGGGTTGAAAGCAGCTTAAACAAGAGTAGCTGTCACACAAAAGGCTAAAAAAACTGGGCAAAAGGAAAACTGTTTGCAAATCAAAGTGAGGGGAGCGATTCTCCCGCTTAACACATACTGCTGTTCCACACTGCAGAAATCATAATATTAAGGAAAAAATATCTAGCATTTACTGAGTTTAAGTGCTAGGCATTTTACATGTGTTCTTGGTTAATCCTCTAAAGGAAAGGTAATACCATTTGCCTTTTTAAATTTAAGAGAAACTGCGGTTCAAAGAAGTTTAAGTAACTTCATTATAGTTTTAAACTAGTGGCATAGTCTATAGGGAGTTACACTGTTGACCCAAAGGTGCTCCTCTCTGGTGGTTCGAATTCACCAGCGACTCCACAGGAGAAAGATGGACAACCACCTTCTGAGCAATTCACAGCTTCCCTAAAAGCTGTTGGGGGATGAGTTGGTCTGGCTTGATGGCAATGAGTTTTTAATTAAATAGGAGTTTTTAATTAAATGGGAGTTTTTAATTAAATGGTTAGAACGGGGATTTGAACCCAGGCAGTCAGAGCTCCAACACCCTTGCTCCTAATGATTTAGAGAGTTGAAGTAATATGCATGTGGTCTTAACTGACAACTAGATTCTGGGGAACAATTTTTCATCAAAGCTAGAGGGTTGACCAAGGACTGATGTTAGGAGACCCAGATTCTGGTGCTGGTTTCTATTCCTTGTCCAGAGACCTCAGGGAGCCTGTGCCCTTCTGCATTTCAATGTCTTCAACTATCAAAAAGTGGACAATCTCTGTCCTTTTCTTTAATGGGACAAAAGAAATGATGACTGAGACAATGCTTAAATGAAACATTTAGGAGAAAAGGGCTTGAGAATAAAATAGATCATGGGATGGAGCAGGGAGTAGGATGAGAAACAGCATGTGATTAAATACGGTTGATCAGAAATGATGGCTGAGAATATGTTTTGCTCCCATATATTTATTTTTACCATATGCTGTGTATTCTAGGGTAGAGCTGAGAAATTACATATTGCCACATTCTGGTTCTGCTCCAGAGTCTCTGGATACTCCTAGTTATTCTTCTGTGTTTACTCCTTTAAAGTCAGACACACTCCTGGGTGCATCCCAAGAACAACAGACACATTTTGAGATTAGGTTGAAAAATACATCTCACCAGACTAGCTGTGGGATTGATTTTCTTTGTCTCTACTTTCTTCTCTGATGTCAACTTGCTGACTGATTCCTGAGCCATTTTCAATCTGAAAAACAGAAACAGGGAGTGGGAGAGGAGAGAAGGAATAGAAAGGAAGAGCGAAAGGGAAAGGAGGTAGAGAGGAAAGAGGTTAGGTTGAGCAGAAATCCAACTGCTTTTGAATTGTCAAATCAGTAGTTTCAAAATAGAGGATGGTTTTAGAATATGGTCATAGAGAATGTTTTCCCGTGCTTTTCATCATTAATAAATAAAAACTTTAATTAACTTTGAATGTTTATCCTTTATTTTAAAATAACATTTCTTTCAATGGCTGAAAGGCTTGCTTAACTTACTTTAGGAAAGGCTATGTTTTGGTTAATAAGTAGCTTCTGAGGAGTAGAATATTACATGGATTCACTTTTCTGTCAGTGAATACATCATGGCTATTTGGCTTATGATTCACTCAGCAGATAAACGGAGCAATTTTGAAAATTTTATGGAAAAATATGAAAATTACAAAAATTAAAATTCACTAACTTGCATTATATCACAGAATGGGAAAATATTTGTAAATCCTATATCTTATAAGGTACTTACATCCAGAATACATAAACAACCCTTAAAAATAAAAAAGATTATCTAATTAAGAAATGGGCAAAGTCTTGAATAGGAATTTCTCCAAAGAAAACATAAAAATGGCCAAGAAGCACATGAAACGATGCTTGGCCTCATTAGTCATCGCTGTTGTTGTGTGCTGTTGAGTTGGAACCATCATGCTGAGCCTCTAGTGGGTTTTCAGAGGCCGTTAAGCACACAGGAAGAGACTGCCCATCCTTCTCCCACAGAGCAGCTGGTGGATTTGAGCTGTGAGCCTTTGGGATTGCAGCACAGCTTCTTTCCAGAGCTCCCTCACTAGCCATTGGGGAAAAAGGAAAAACAAAATCTCAATGAGATACCACGTCACACCCAATAAAATGAAAATAAGAGAGTACCAAGTGGGAGGTGAAGAGTTGGAAAAATTACAGCCATCATATGTTGTTGTTGGGGACATAAAATGGTACAGGCACTTTAGAAAGCAGTTTGGTAATTTTCTCAATATGCTAAAACACTGAGAGTTTTACACTCCAGAAAGTGAACTTATATTTTATACATATACAATTAAACATATTATATATAATTTATGTTTATATATACAGAATTACCTATCTCAATTATTATGAATACATATATTCATGTTTCTCAAGAAGATGAAAATTATAGGTGGACATACAAGAATTTATATGCGAGAGTTCATGGCAGCACTGCTCATAATAACTACGAAGTAGAAATAAATGCATCTATCCATTAACTAATAAAGTGAAACATAAAATACGATACTATTAGGCCATGTTGTTGTTGTTAAGTGCCATTGAGTCATAGGCGACTCATAGCAACCCTAGGAATGAAAGACCTGAACATAAGAACGAGAAAAATATTTACATAAGCTACAACGTAAATCATTATGCAAAGGGAAATAAGCGAAACACAAAAGGACAAATATTGTGTTACTAACCTTATATGAAATACCCAGAACATAAACATCTTTGGTGAGAGCAGTGGCATAAGGATGGGGCAGGGAGAAGAGAGTGACTGCTGATACAGTGTTTGTATTTGACATGATGAAAACATTCCAAGATTTGACAGTTTTACAGCATTGTGAATCTTCTAGAAACCACTGAATTTTACACCTTGAAAAGCGTTAATTTCAGAGTATGTGAAATATGTTTTGGTAAAACTTTTACTAGGGAGTTCTGGTGGCCTAGTGGGTAAAAAGTTGTGCTTCTGACCCAAAGGCAGACAACTCAAATGCAACAGCTGCTACATGGGCAGATGATGGGCAATCTCCTTCTGTGTGTTTTACTGCCTTTGAAAACCCACATAGCTATGTGTTGGTGCCAATTCAACAGGACATAACAGTAACAAAACAAAGCTATTATTTAAGAACTACACAATTCAAGACAATAGTATTTCCTGTCCATTAAATCTAGTAGTTGGGCGATATCAACTGTTAGTGAGAACATGAGTAACTGAGAACTGGCATACAGTGCAAATGAAAAAATCCAACCCAACCCATTTTCATCGAGCCAATTCCAACTTCACAGTGTGGTGGACAGAGAAGTGACTGTAGAGTTTCCAGCGCTATAAATCTTTATGGAAGCAGACTGTTTCATCTTTCTCCTGTGGAGCGGCTAATAGGCTTTAACTGAACTTACTTTTTAGCAGCCTAATTTTTTTAATCACAGTGCTATCTATGCAGTTGTTGTTTCTGTAAAGTGCCACTGAGTCCGATACAAGACATATGAACAACAGACCTGAATCCTGTACTATTCTGTGCCATCCTCACCATCTCTGATACACTTGAGCCCATCAATCTACCTTATGTAGATTGGGGAGATGTCTTCCTCTCTTTAGTTGACCCTCCCTCTTTCTAAACATAATTCTCTTTTCAAAGAATAGCCTCTCCTAGCACCATGTCTAAAGCATGAGAGACAAAGCGTCACCATCCTTGCCTCCAAGGAGTACTCTGGCTGCATTTTTTGTAAGATATAACTGTTTGTTCTTCTGTAAGTCCTGGGAATATTTAGCTCTCTTCACCAACACCAATAAACAAATGCATCAATTTTTCTTCTCTCATCTTTGTTCACTGTCCAGATCTCAGATGCACAGCAAGATATTGAAGACTGTGGTGTGAATCAGGCACACCTTAATCTTCAAACTGATATCATTGCTCTTTAGTTTTTTTGAGAAATCCCTGACAGCAGACCTGCCCATAGCAATATGTCTCCTGATCTCCTGACTGCTGGCACCAAAGGTGCTGATTGTGAATCTAAGCAAGAAGAAATCATTGAGAGTTTCAATCCTTTCTCCCTCTATCAAGATGTGCCTATTGGCCCAGTGGAAAGAACCTTCATTTTCTTAATGTTGAGATGTAATACATATTGAAGGTTGTAATATTTGATCCTCTGGAGTAAGGATTTCTGGTTTCCACTTTCAGCAACATTATTTTTTAAATAAAACTTATTTTAATTGTGATTTTAATGAAAGTTTACAGAAAAGTTAGATTTTCATTCATTCAACTGTTGCACCCTTTCTCCCTCCCTTCCCTCTTCCCTCAGTTAACTTTTTTTTTTTAAATTTAGGTTGTTTATTTTTCATTTCAATGAACATCCACAGAGATTTTGGGATCCCATTCATTCATTGTTGCACCCTTCTCCCCGCACAAACCCCTCCCCCCTCCAGCCCCTTTGCTCCCCTCCTTGGAAACCAAAAGAAAAACTCCCTCATTGGTACACAATCCACCCCCCGCACCTCCCCAAACCCCACCCCTTAGCCCCAAATATAATCCACTCTACAACCCTCATAGCATACTCCTACGATAAAATAATGCCCTAAAATATAATACTTTTAGTTAAAAAATATTTGTTCATTGTTGAATAATTACCCGACCCCCCATCCTCTTTGCAATGTACCTTTTATACTGGGCTGTTGTCTTATGTATAATGCTTATAATTCATTCCTTTTAAATAGTTCTTTGCTTCATCTGTTCCAATGCAGTATTCATTATTTATCCCCTTTCCTTAGTTTCCCCCCAACCACAAAGTCAGTCCGATTTATCCTTTTATGACTGAGATATTTCACTTAGCATAATGTTCTTCAGGGTTACCCATGTTGTGTAATATTTTATGAGTTCCTTGTATTTTGATGCATAGTATTCCATTGTGTGAATATACCATAGTTTTTCCATTAGTTTATGGAATGATAAATCTTTAAGGGACTCATATCTAAAATTTATAGAATACTCCAGCATCTCAACAAGAAAAAGGTAAGTAACCCAATTCCAAAATGGGCATAGGCTATGAGTTCAGATGGTAAATAAACACATGAAGAAATGTTCAAAACCCCTAGCTTTAAGAGAGATACAAATGAACAAATAAACCACAAACACCTATACATTATCATCTCACCCTAGTAACAATAGAAAAGTTCAACAGCGCAACAAAAAATAAATGCTGGTGAGGTGGTGGAGAGATGGGAACCCTTATTCACTGCTGGTAGAGTGTAAAATGATGCAACCACTATGGAAGGCGGTATGGAGCTTTCTCAAAAAATTGTAAGTAAAAATACCATTTGATCCAGCAATCCCACTACTAGGAAAATACCCTGAAGAAACCAGAGCTGCCACACAGACAGATGCACACACATGTTTATTGCTGCATTATTCAAAAAGATTGTTGATGGGTCTTCCTCCAATCATTATGCCACATTCTTCATAGAATCTGGCTTCATGAATTATTTTCTCAACATACAGATTGAATAGGTATGGAGAAAGGATACATTCCTGATGCACAGCCTTCTTGATGTTAAACAATGCTGTTGCTTTCCAGTTTAGACAACAGTTTCTTGATCTAAGTTTGTATAAGCATAATTAAGTGTTCTGGGATTCCATTCTCAGTGTAAGCCAGAATTTGTTATGATCTGCACAAATGCCTTTGCTTAGGCAATGAAACACAAATATTATTCTTGCATTCTCTGCTTTTAGTCAAGATCCATCTGATATCAGCAATGATATCCCTGGTGACATGGCCTCTTCTAAACCCAGATTGAATCTCTGGTAGTTCCCTGTCATGTGCTGTTCCAGCAGTTTTGGATGATCTTCAGCAATATTTTGCTTGCATGTGGTATTTATGATATTGTTTCATAATTTCTACATTGCTTTGGATCACCCTTCTTGGAAATAGGATTTCTTCCACTCAGTCAGCCAGGTAGCTGTCCTCCAAATTTCCTGGCATAGACTGGTGAACACATTCCGGGTTGTAGCTATTAATTGAAACATATTAATTGGTATCCCTTCTACTCCAGGGCCTTATTTTTTGCCAATGTCATCAACACAGCTTGAACTTATTCCCTTGTTACCACTGGATCTTGTTTATAGGGTATTTCTTGAAAATGTTCACTGTCAACCAATTCTTTTTGGTAGTGGTTCTGTGTATTCCTTCCATCTTCTCTTGATGCTTTTTAGATCATTCA